ATTAATATTTGTTGTTTCTGTTTTCAGAATCCAGTGCAGCAGGAACACCTAATGCTACGCCAGATGGAGCACCTGCAGAGGATGGTAACTGAGCAGCAGAAAATAATTTCATTCTATAACCCAGGTATTATGGGAATGACCTCTGTAGAGCTTAATGCTTACATTTGTGCCAACTACTTGCATTATTTCAGCTGTATTTCTCAGGGAAAGCTCTGAAGGCTGTAAAATGGCCACAGATGTTTGGGCCATCTTGACTCAGGGTGACAAATTCTGGAAACACCAGAACGTACCAGGAAAAATGCCTGAACTTAAGACTGATTTCCATGAGGCAGAGTGTGTGGTTAGGTGGCTGTTTTTTCTAATAGCATTTGGTTTCCCCTACAAAACAATTTAGTGTCATGAGCAAAATATTGTTTCATGCAGATTAATGATACATGTAGATGGAATGGTTTCAGCCTATATAAACTAAAAAACTAACTGAATAGCATTACAAGAGCATTCAAGGCAGGTATAGACACTGATTTGGCACTGAGAGATAAATGGAAATTGTTACCGGTGAGCAGGTAGTTCCTTCCCCAATTTTATTTAAAGAGCTAGTTTTTCCTTCTAGCTGCTTCTAATTTTAAAAGGTAATTTGAAGAAGAAGAGAAGAAGAAGAGATTGGATTTATACCCCAACCTTCATCTGGAGTCTCAGAGCGGCTTACAAACTCCTTTCCCTCCCCCTCCCCAAAACAGAAACCCTATGAGGTAGGTGGGGCTGAGAGAGCCCTGATAGAAATTCCTCTTTCAAGAACAGTTCTGACAGAACTATTGCTTGCCCAAGGTCATCCAGCAGCTGCAAGTGGAGGAGTGGGGAATCAAATAGCCTCACTAATAAAACAACCTTACTTTTTAAACACAGGAGTGGGGAATAAAACCCAGTTCTCCCAGATAAGATTCCGTGCACTTAACCACTACACCAAACTGGCCCTCTGTAGGTTCTGTAGGGCTGATATCAAGTGGAAATAGCTTAAATATTTAGGTGTACCCACAGATGCCATGTGATTGCTGCTCTGGATTGCAGCCACCGTGGATGAGAGCAGGGCTATTTTTGGGCAGAAACACACAGGAACAGAGTTCCGGCTGGCTTCAGAGTTGGCCATGCCCACTACAGCCAAAACCTCTGTGTGCATGGCTACAGAGAGAAGGCCTGTAGAGCGACCCCCCTGGCGACTCCAAGGTGGGTGGGCCAGGGGGCCCCTGGAAGGATCGGGGAGGCAAGCCAAGGGAAGGCAGTTTAAACTGCCTTCCCTTCAAGGGGGGGCTTGCTTGGGCTCCCCACAGTTGCGGGGCGCCTGGGCAAAACAAGGGAAGGCCTAATATGCTAATGAGCAGCACTGTCAGGGTGTGGCCTAATATGCTAATGAGTTTCTGCTGTTGGGTGTGTTCTATTATGCTAATGAGTTCCTGCTGGGCTTTTTCTACAAAAAAAGCCCTGGATGAGAGTATTTGTGTTTAGTTCACTATTGGTATATCAGCTGTTTTCTGACTAAGTGTAGAGTTTCTGCACATTGCCACACTCGTGTTACTGGTTTATTTGTTCCTGCAGGCTTTTCAGTTTCTCCGGCTATTTCTCCCCATCTACTTGCTACAATGCCATCTCTTCCAAGAGTCCCTGCTACCTTATTTCCTGCCCAGCTACCTTTGGAGAATGCTTTACCAGTTCAGAATAGTGGATGCTCACCAGTCACCCCCTTAGTCATGAAACATACTTTACAGCAATGTGCCAGAGGAACCTCAGTGAATGGCAGCCACTCAGAAGCTTCAAGGGAACGCCCTGAATCTCAGGCAATAGGTAAGAACCTCGGTATCGGTCATTTTGCTTCGGTCATTTTGCAAAGTGAATTGGTTAATGACATAGTGCATCTGGTGATGATTCTAATTTTTGTTTCAATATTTACAAAGTTTTAAACAAAGTACTTTGCTTTCCTAATTGAGACTATGGCATTCCTTGTTTTGACTGATATTATAGAAAAGGCTGGGGTGAAGTGTGGAACAGGAAGTACCGGTACCACTCTTCCCCTTGCTTCTGTGTATCATCCAAAGCAGAATTCTTAAGACTTGAGTATATAGAATTTATGTTGACACCATGGATGTAATAAAAATAGTACCTTCTATGGTACATTTTAAGTTAAAGTTAAAATTATTGTATGGCATTGTGTACGGTATAGCCAGGCGATCCAAAGATTGTCTGGCAGCCTTAAGATCTAACTCTTTTAGCATTATGTACCACTAGCTGGTGAGCTAGACTTATTTTTTTAGGATTGAGAGAGCTCTGAGAGCTGTGACTGACCCACGGTCACCCAGCTGGCTTCATGTGGAGGAGTGCAGAATCGAACCCGGTTCTCCACATTAGAATCTACCACTCTTAAACACTGCACCATGCTGGCTCTCTAATTATTATTATTAAGTTAAAGGATGCAGTACAGAATATGTGGATTTTCAGGAAAGGTAGGTTAGATTCTTTTGTGAGCTCATTTGCAAACTGATTGGGAAAATACCTTTGGAACTATGGGGAAAATATTGTGTGATGGTTATCCAGATTTTCAAATAAGTTAATTTTCTTTCTTTTTGGAAATGAACTACACATTCTATCTTTGATGGTTTATTCACATGGGATAAAGAGAAAATCTGAATAGCCATTTTTGAAAGCAAACACTGACATATGTGGGAAAAGAAAACCAGTCTGGCTTGAAAATGCAAAGCAAGAGTAAAGTCTTAAGCACACTTAGTTGGAGGCAAGGGTTCACATCCAAAAAATGTGTTTATGGTGCTTAAGTAGAGTCTCTAATGGTGAACATATGGAGCAGTAAGGTGGAACTAGATTTTAGGAGAAATGGAAATGTCTCTGCTCTGTTTTCTTCTTGCACCTCCCATGAAGCAAGTAGTATAACCAAAGCTGTGACATAACAAAAAAAAGTTTCCCCGCCATGCTTTGTCTTCTTCTAGATTCCAGAAGAGTGCTGTAAACGAATGCCAGTGGTCATTTACAACATGGGAATTCATTTGCTGATTCAGCACTTAGAGCCTCCATAACATTAAATTGAATTTAACTGTCCAAAATACATTTGAGATACAATCATAAGCCTTATTTGTGTGTGTCTAAAAAGAACACCCTGAAATCTATCATTATGCAAATTAGAACAAATATGGAACCATTATTTCAAAGACTTGAGTCCTTCACAAAAGATCTTACCAGACAAGAAGCTGAAAAATTTCTGCAAGGAAAAGTAATGAGGAGCTTAGTTCTGGGCACTGTGTTTTTATTGCTATTAAATGGCCATGTTTTTAAATCCAAGAAAGGAAGATGAAGTTGTACGGAAAAGATATTCTATTTTTTAAAAACATTGTTAGGATTAGTTTTAGATTTTCTGGGTTGTGTGGCCGTGGTCTTGGCATTGTAGTACCTGAAGTTTCATCAGCAGCTGTGACTGGCATCGTCAGAGGTATAACACAGAAAGATGGAGTACTCTCTATGTCAAGGTGAGAAGAAAAATGGTAGGCAGGTAATTTATATCTGCTCAGGAAGGTGGAGTAGGGCTGAGTCATTATCTTGTAGGAGTTTCCCAGTCTGTGACATGCTAATGGAAGAGCTTTCCTGAGGAGGTTCTTTTGCATATGGATTGGCTGTTGAAATTCTAATCTTATCTGTAGTGCTGTTGTGGGATGTAGAGCATTTTGTGTTTTTCAGGACTGGAAACCATGCCCTATTTATTTTTAAACTCCCTTCCTGTTGAAATTGTGTTTGTTTATGAATTTCAATGGTTTCCCTATGTAATCTGACATGATAATTGGATGTGTTGTCCAGCATTTCAGTGTCTTGGAATAAGATAATGTGTTCTGTTTGAGTTAGGCTGTGTTCAGCCATGTATAAGATTAGAATTTCAACAGCCAATCCATATGCACGGCCATACAGCCCAGAAAATCTACAACCACTAATGAACTCCGTCCGTGAAAGCCTTCGACAACATATTGATGGGATTGTGTAGAGAAACATTTCTGTGGATCTTTTTTAATACACGGAAATATTCCCTGGGATGATATTATCAACTGTCCCCCTCCCCAGCAACTGAGGTAGAAAACTCCTTTGTTGTTTGCTGCTCGGCTGATGTTTAGAAGCATCTGCGTGTTTGTTACTACAGTTATTGATTTTATGCATCCCTTTAAGAGTCTTGCCTTGAAACCCTGCCAGCTATTGAAGAAGAGCAGGAGGAACAACAAATTGACGAACACATATCCCTTTCTCCCTTTGGAATAAGAATAAACACGAGGACTAGAAATGTGGATGACAGGTGAGAAAAAAGAAAACATTAAGTTTAGCTGAAGAATAAGTACGATTTCAGGGCTATTTTTGGGCAGGAACGCACAGGAACGGAGTTCCGGCTGGCTTCTAAGTGGGCCACACCCAGCAGGAACTCATTAGCAAAATAGGCCACACCCAACAGCAGAAACTCATTAGGATTGGCTACATTAGGGGTGTGTGGCCTAACATGCAAAGGAGTTCCTGCTACAAAAAAGCCCTGGGTTTTGGCAACAAACAAGGTAAACAGAATAAGAAGCAAAAGGTGGGTGTGGCTGGATGAGCACACTTCTGGTAACATGGGGGTGTGGCCTAATATGCCATTGAGCTGTGCTGTCAGAGTGTGGCCTACTACGCTAATACGTTTCTGCTGTTGGGTGTGGCCTATTTTGCTAATGAGTTCCTGCTGGGCTTTTTCCACAAAAAAAGCCCTGATGATTGTACTTATTTGGTTTTATTTGTTTACATTATTTATAGTCCACCTTTCTCACAGGGACTCAAGACAGATTGCACATAGTGAGTCAGTACAATTGAAAAAAAATGAGACAGTCATTACCAATGTATTAGGATTTTTGAAGTCTGAAACCACCAGAAAGAACTGAAGCATTTGGCCCATTAAGTGGTACAGAAATTACATAAATAGGATTCTACTTACGATAAACTGTACACAGCAGTCTAGACCATAGTCCCAAATCATCTACCCAAGCAAGTTTGTAAAACCATTTTGTATAGTGCAACTGAGCCCACTTGTGGGATAGGGCAGGATATAAATAAAATAAACAAGCAAACTGTATTACCTGTGCAGAAAAGCCCTCTTGAATCATTCAGTTTTTCATTGTTTGTGGAAAACCAGGAGAGTGGGAGCTTTCCTGACCTCCTCAGACAAACCATTCCACAAGGCAGGAGCCGCAGTTGGAGAAAGCCTGTGTATGGGCAGTTGGTGATTCTGCCTATTTGCAGGTTGGCACCTGTAGAAGCCCCTGCTGACTTGAGCGGCATAGTCTGGCAGAACATAGGAAGAGAAGTGATCCTGCAGATGAGAGGGGCCAAGGCCATGAAGAGCTTTGTATGTGATAGACAGTACCTTAAACTGAGCCCAGTAACAGATGGGCAGCCAACTGATTCAAAACATGGTGGAACTAGGGTTGCCAGTCTCCAGGTCCTGGCGGGGTTTCCCCCAATTTTCGGGGCTTTAGCTGGGGGAAACCCCACCCCCAAACAGCCACGTTGTGGCTTGACGTCCCCAACACAATGACATGACCCGGAAGTGACATCATCGCATTGGGGATGTCGTGTGGGATGCTTTGGTTTGAGGGCAAAACTCTATGGTAAATTTGGCCTAAAACCATAGAGCGTCTCGTGTGACATCGCTGACTCAATGATGTCACTTTCGGGTGACATCATTGCATTAGGGAACATCCTGGGAACCCCCCCTCCAATCCCTAGGTGGAATATTAGTATTCAGAAAAAAGCATATGATACATGCATCTCCTTTTTTTTTTGGTATGTCTGTTTATCATTCTCCTTCCCATAAGGAGGCCAAGGCATGCATAAAGGTGTTCCAGTTCATCCTCAGCAACTGGTAGGTTTTGCTAATGATCACCCAAGTATGGATTGTGACTGAGCCAGAAAGCAGTTATTAACATCTCTTGTATGTAAAAGCTCATGTAAGTGTCATAAGAAAGAAGAGCAATTTAGATATGGCAAAGTGAGGAAAAGCAGGACTGGTTGATAAAAGAAATGCAATATGCTTGTTATCAATATACTAGCAGTAAAGCCCGTTGTGAAAGCAATACAACGGGATCTAGAAAGAGGCTCTGGGGCAGTGCTCTGGCTTTGGGCAAACAGTGTCAATTTGCTGTGGTGACCTTAGCAGGGTATAATGACAGAGTCCACTGTTTTCTCCAGAGGAACTGATCTCTGCTACCTGAAGAGCAGTTGTAATTGTGAGTAATCTGTAGCCCTCACCTGGAGATTGGCAACAATTGTTACCCAGGACAAAATGGCTGGTTTGGAGGGTGGAGTCTATGGCATTCTACCTGTCTGAGGTCCCACCCCTCTGCAAACCCCACCCTCTCCAGGCTCCACCCCTCAAATCCCCAGGAATTTGTCAGGATGTAGTTGGCAACCCCATCTCCTTCCCAGCTAGCCACCAACCTACCATTATCTGCCCCTTTGACTTCAGCTGACTTCTGCCCTCCCTTCTGCAGAACAGTTGTAATACTGAGTGCTCTCCAGCCCTCACCTGGAGATTGGCAACAATGGTTCCCTATGTGGGACTGACTGGTTTGGAGGGTGGAGTCTATGGCAGTGTACCTGTCTGAGGTCCCACCCCTCCTCAAACCTCACCCTCTTCAGGCTCCATCCCTCAAGTCTCCAGGAATTTCCCATCTGGAGTTGGCAACCCTATCAGGATTGGCCCCAATGTGGTTTCTCCCAAAGGCCAAAGTAGGTGACAGGACCAAGCTTAGTTGCCTACCAACAGGCACTGAGGGGAATGTAGGGTTGCCAGCTCTAAGGAGGGAAATACCTGGAGGTTTGGGGGGTGGATTCTGTAGAGGGCCGGGCGACGGAGGCATCGGCCTTCTGTCGCCCGCCTTGCCCCCCCAATCTCGGCCCGGGCGACCGCGGCTCC